TAAAGAGAGTTTCTATTTTTGAACACACGTGTCCTTTATTTTGTACATTAGGAAGGGGGGCTAGGGAGGGATAAGTGGAAGGAGGTGAGGGAGGAATGGGGTACGAGCCCCCGATGGGGAGGACTGGGGTGGCTCTGTGGGCTCCTCGGGGTGGAAGCTTTCCTGCAGCCTCCCGATTGACCCCCCCGGATGGCAGCCCGCGGCAAGTGCAGCCGGGCTGATGGCCGAGTGCTGTGATGTGCTGAGTGTGGGCACTCAGGGCACTCCAGGCTAGTACTGCTTTGCAAGCGGGGAACCCCTGAGAACTGTCTGTCCGGGGTGGGGGTCGGGTCCCTTTAAGCACAACCCTCAGCTAGCCTGAGACAGCAGCTCCACACTCTAAGTCCTAATCTGATACCCTGCCGGCACTGCTTCCGGCCATCCTTAACCTTGGTTCAGGGTCCACTCAATGTGGACATGCTAGTTCGAATTAGCAAAATGCTAATTCGAACTAGTTTTTAGGTCTAGATGCACTAATTCGAATTAGCTTAGTTCGAATTAACTAATTCGAATTAAGTTAGTTCGAATTAGTGCGGTAGTGTAGACATACCCTTACATACAATGCAACTCCTCCTCCTTTTCCCCCTCGCCTGTTCTTTCTGAACAGTTTATACCCTTCCATGATAATGCTCCAGTCATGCGAGTCATCCCACCAAGTCTCCATTATTCCAATCAAATCATAGTTCTTTGACTGTGCCAGGGATTCTAATTCTTCCTGTTTGTATCCCAGGCTTCTTGCATTAGTGTACAAACACCTGAGATAGCCAGTTGATTGCCCTACCTTCTCCATTCGAGTCAGAGGTCCTCCTTTGTTTCTCATTCCTCCTTGTGTTTCTTCCCAGTAGCTCACTTCCTCACATACTTCAGGACTTTGGTCATCATCCCCCAACGAACCTAGTTTAAAGCTCTCCTCACTGGGTTTGCAAGCCTGCCTGCGAAGATACTCTTTCCTCTCCTGGTTAGGTGGATCCCATCTCTTCCTTGTGCCTGGCACAGAGTCCCATGGTTGAAGAAACTAAAGCCCTCTCTCCAACACCACCTGTGCAACTACGCATTTACTTCCTCAGTTCGACGATCCCTACCTGGACCTTTTCCTTCATGCAGAAGGATGGACGAGAACACCACTTGCACTTCAAATTCCACAATCCTTCTTCCCAGCACTACATAATCTGCTGTGATCCACTCAAGGTCATTCTTGGCTGTATCATTAGTTCCTACATGGAGAAGGGTAGGGCTATGCATCCCATTCTTTCTGGTAGATGGTGTTCCCTTCTGATTTCTTCCCTGAGAGGTCCCTGCCAAAGCATTCCCCACCACAGTGCCTGTGGAGAGAGCCTGAAAGTGGTTACTTACCTCTACATGAATGGGGGATACCTGAGTTGGCCTTCTTCTCCTTCTAGAGGTTACATGTTGCCAGTGTTCTTCCTTGTCCTGTACTGCCCTGACTGGCTCTTCAGCCTGCTGTGCCTGCAGGATTAAACGTTGCCTTCTATCGAGGAAGTCTTCATCTTCTCTGATGGAACGTAGGGTTGAGACTTGGACCTCATGTCTTGGACCTCATGTCCTCTAATTTTTTCTTCCAAAATGGCGACCAGCTTGCACTTAGTGCAGATGAAATCCCTTCTTTCTTCCAGGAGGAAGACATGCTGTGCAGGTAACAACAGCAGACCGATCACTATCCATAACTGCATTCCTTCTGAGAGATTCCTCAGTTATTAAATGCCTCCTTGAAGGGCAGGAGTGTAGCAAAAAGATTTTAAAGAATAGCAAGTGTCCCTCGACCCCTTCATACTCCCCTTCCGAACTCCATCTCCAAACTCCCTGTTAGCAACCTCCCTGGTCACTGACTCACTCCTTTATAAAGCCCTGCACTGCCTGATAGCCCCTCCCCCTGATTAAAGCTCAACCAATGAGCAGAGATTTCCAGAGTTCAAACCCTGATTAGAAGCTCATAGCTTCCACCTGTCAGCCACAGCACACACTCCATAAGGAGGGGGAAGGGGGGAAAGAAGGGGGAAAAAAAACCCCAACAGCCAAACACAAGCTCAGCACACAGCAAGAAAACCCCAAACTAAACACACACTACAGACAGCCACTTCCCTCAAGGGTCCTATATTAGCTTCCTCCTCTACCTGGAGAACTCCCTCTTCAAACTCCCTGTTAGCAACCCCTGTTCACAAGAAGGGTCTTCATGAACCCTGGTGCGCTTTTGGGTACTCTGGGCTCTGGCAGCTGGCTCAGGTGGTGTGGTTCGCCCCTCAGTCCCAACTGGCTTGGCTGGGGAAAACACAAAGGCTACGTCTACACTGGCATCCCTTCCGGAAAAGGGATGCTAATGTAGCATGTTGGAATAGGCAAATCCGCGGGGGATTTAAATATCCCCCACGGCATTTGCATTAACATGGCTGCCGCTTTTTTCCGGCTTGGGGAAAAGCCAGAGAAAAGCGCCAGTCTAGACGTTATTCTCCGGAAAATAAAGCCTTTTCCGGAGG